AATTGACCAGAGGGCAGAGCAAATAAGAGCCATCAAGATCAGTGCAGTCAACACTTAGAAAGTTCTATCCATGGGCCTGAATGATCAATTGAACTTGGCTACTCAATTTAAAATGATAGAATTGTTAGTTCTTGTAGGAGAATATTTAGAATTAGAGAAAATTTAAATGATTTCTTATAGCTATTAACCAGTACAGTCCTCACATTAGTTTCATATGACAGAATTTCTGTGCATTATATATTCTATGTAAAAAATAGTATGTTAAATTCTTCAGTAGGATTAAATATACTTAAACTGAATTTTTATAAGACATACACATTTAACACAGAATGGACATGTTCAATAAATGTTATAATTTTCCCCTTTTGAGCCAATTCACTAAAATGAAAATTGATAAGAAAAGGACAAATTTCAACAGTTTATCTTGACTTTTCCTTAAAAATCATACTTGATAGTAACACAATAATTGTTACTAGAATATAAAAACAGATTATGTGATGCTGGTAAAATGAGTTTATACATGTGATAAGATATGTTAAACTTTATACACACATTCATGCTTTCTCTCTCAAGGAAATGAATACATATAAAATCCAGAACTCCAAATAAGGTCTGTGGATTGTACTAATGTCAACGTTATGGCTTGGCGCCATACTTTAGGGATATAAAATATTACTTGGAGAAAATTGAGTACATGCTTATGTACTGTTTTGTTCTTGCCACATCCTTTCAAATCTATAGTCATTTCAAAATAAAAGGTGAAAAACAAGTTAACGGAAGACTATATGTATATTCCATTGTGGTTAACATTGGCTGTCATCATTTTCCCATTTTCTTTACTTTTATATCTCAGCTACAGTACTGGTTCTCTACTAAAGTCAAATTCTGTTACATTTTTTCAAAATGTTCATTCTACTTAGGAGGTGTAAATTCAGAGATGTGAATGTAGTAAATGATGTCAAGTCAAAGCTATGGAAGTTATTGCTTATCTACTATAACTTCATTTCTCATTGATTCTGGACTTGAGCATTTCTTAACCACACATCCAGATATGTTGCTAATTGATTAAAGTTGGTTCACAGAAAAAATCTACTCCCATGTTCTTGTGCAAAGTGAATCTGGATGTGCAGATTGGTGATCGACTAGTTGATAAAGACCCATCTTCCGAGAAAAGCAGAACATAACACACTCACCCACACACAATCAAAAGAGGTCAACACCATTACAAGTTCATTCTCTTAGAAGTTTTATACTTGAAAACTTCCTTTTGGTAGTCATTATTATCTCTTTATTTTGAGTAAAGTTGACAACCCTTGCTTTGAGTTCATGGTTCATATAGTGATTGCTTCCAGATTTTCAAAAAAAATTCACTGTGCCATGATCACTTCATTAAATAGATTTTGCTTTTTCTCTTAAGTTTTCTTATGCTGGACCCTCTTGTCCTGCTTATCCCTGTTCAATCCAGAAAACACTTTCTCTAATATCATATGCCATATATTATAAAACTCACTTTCCTTACCCTGTATAGACATATCTTATAGACTTGGATTGATGTGCTTATTTTAAGCTTAGTTATATGTTACCAGCATTCAAGATACAGATGAAGGTCACATTTGATTTCACCATTTCAACATACAACATGATAATTCAATGTAAAAATAAATTTATTTCTTAAGATATAAGGATAATACTTATCATGTCATTTTCCATTCAACAGTGTGTGAAATAAGAGATTTTATTTCTATAATATATGCAGATTAAAAATGCCATTTTCAAAAAGAGTTGAGGTGAAAATAAGATGTTTTGGTTAACAGCTTATTTTATTTTTTTTGCCTGTGTAAAACATGAATATGCTTAAAATTCATAGTACAGAGACCTAACTCTAGCCAATAATTCCTTTTCTGTTTGTCTTCACTTTGATATTTTTTTTAAGGGATAACTGATTATATTCTGATTCTCTTACTTGCTTCATTTTTGCTGTAAAAATATAGAGAAGTTTTTTATTATTTACCAGTCCAGGTGAATCTTGGACTTCCATTGCTTCAGCAATAAGGTTCAGAAATATTCCTTTCCAACTCTGTAGTCAAGATTTGAAGGTTAATGTGAATGAAACAGTTAATATGAAGATTAATGTGAATGAAGCAGTTAAGAGCAGAAGGGTGTGTTTGTGTGTGTGTGGTGTGTGTTTGTGTGTGTGTATGTGTGAACATGGAACGGTAATGGGGCGGTCACTATGGTTCTACTTTTTGACCTGCTTTCCCTAGCTGAGCTGAGGAGAGAGGATCATAATCACAGAAGACAGACGGAAATATCAACCACTCTGCCAAAATGAAGGAAAATCCACAAAACATATAGACACATATTTGGTTTAACTTAAAATATATTGCAAGTGTTCTATGGAGAAATACTACTTGTTTTTAAATGTAAGTCACGTTGATAAAATACTTAGCTCTACTAAGAGTTATTTTTCTCACTGATAAAATAATATTTATTCACTTTAATTAATCTATTTTAGAAATAAATGAGCTAACATGTGGTAAATTCTTTAATATATCTTATAAGGTAAATGATGAATGCTTCTTATTATTAGGAAAGGGAAATACTGTATAGAATTTTATTATACTGAGTACACTTAACTTTGGTTTGCCCATTCTATTTCTATCTAAATAAATTTATAAAAATGATTTTGATGTTCAGACATTGAAACACATACACACACTATCTTCTTTTGTGATAGTCAAAGAGTTCTCATAACACAAGTAGGTAAGAATTTCCTGTGCTGTGGTTCCGGAACATTTAAGAAGTTAGTGATTTGCTGCTTCTTCTTCATACTTTGCATCTTTTTCTCACCAATAGGTGATTCAAGAACCCCATTTGAATGCACAATTTTTCTTTTTCTATACAAGCTTTGAATTTCTTAACCTCTAGCTGAACTTTGTAGTTCAATATCCATCTTCGTGATCCAACACTTTTCTTCATGAATAAGCAAACCTCCCACCTGCATTGACCTTGGAGCACTATTTCTCATGGCAGGTATGTGCAGCCCAAGTCATACAATTAACAAATAAATTTAACCAGGAAGGGTATCTGATGGATATTGCTAATTTGCCTGCAGGGTTGGGGGAAAAGTGATATAAATTGGCTTATCCTGTATCAGCACTTTCCACTTAATTTTATTTTTGTGACTTCATTCTGTAGCTTAAAATTTATTTTTGAAGCTCTCCTAAAAGATTTAAACAGTGGTTTCTGATAGCACTAGATTCTGTATGGGAACTGATTTTCTTGGTTAAATTAAATTTGGGCATAGAGATAGAAAATGCTGGATATTAATGATAATGCTTATAAGTACAAGTTCACTATTTGATTCTTCAGTAAAGAAATTAGATTTTTGGAGTAAATCATTATTTTCAAATCCCAAAGCATGGCAAGAGGAAAGAAATATTATAATGCAGGACTTACACACAGTTTAGTTATTTTTGCTCAATAAATATAGGTCTTTGTCAGTTCACTTAGACTTTTTTTTCATATTTCTCCTAATGTAAGTTTTTAAAAATGTTTAAGAAAACAAATAATTAAAATATTTTGATAATTGTCATGCAGATATACTTCTCCCTCCCTCCCCTTTTTTGGGTATAAATTTATGATTAGTGGTTCATAAGTAAATAACATATTATTAAAGTATATGTAAATTGTGTGTGTACGTGTGTTTTTTTTTTAAAACCAAGTGGGCATAAAATGAATTGAATTAAGCAAAAATCTTACCACTTATTTTTATTCTTGTTAACTTGTGATAAGTTATACTTTTAGATAAGAATCCAGATTTCTTATATTTAAATGGTGTATCATAATTTCTTGTTTACCATTTGTGCTAAAAATGCTGTTGCAACAGACTGCAGATAGGCTGGGTGCTCTAAGTCCAATCAACATTGAACTTTTACCAAGACAGGATTTTTTTCTTTTATTTTTTAAACAACTCATGGAATGGAATTAGGTCTCAAGATCTCTAATGAAAATATCTAGTGCTTTTTACATTTGCTAAGCCTCTTGCACACTCTAAAGAATTGTTAAGCTGTAGAAAAAGCAAATAAACATTAGTGTTTTGAGTTGCATTTAATTAATATATTAAATATACATTTTAACATTAAGAGAAAAGATATTCATACATATTCATGGCTTTTCGTACAATGGACTATTAATGGCAGGCACCAAACATTTCAAGTTTTTTTTAAAAAATCTATTGCATTGATAGACTCAATCTGTCAATAATTGATAGAGTGAATCTATCCCTTAAAGCAAAAAAAAAAAAAAAAAAGTTGGGAATTAGAGAATGTAATGTCCTGTAAATGATGGTTGTTTATATATCATCATTCAAAGTTCCCATGTATTTGTTGGGGAACTTGGGTCTAGGGCTTCCTATGTTTTTTCTTTCCCACAGGACCTCTACACAGTTCTGAGCATCTGGTCACCTTTCACTCCCAAAGAGGGGGAATGCACTAGGATTAGGAGACTGGCAGACACACTCCAGGAAGTGTTATTTTTGAAATGACAGGATAAGTTACATGAAGAGACTGGCATATAATACCTTTCATATGTGAAAAAAATGCCATGATGAATCGACCCAAGTTTCCTCATTTACTTAACAATATACGAACTACCTGTCTTGTGATTTTGTTGAGAAATAAAAGAAAACATCTGATATTTAAGCCTATGAACAGAACTTTGTGTCTATTGCTATCACCTTGCAATTTCTAAGCTTCTTTGTTAAAAATAAACTACAGTTACTACTACATTACTGACACAGAGCTTGAAGAAAGAAAAATTATGGGTAATGTCACTGGAGAATACAAAGTACACCTCCTATAAATTTTGGCATTTGGTGGAGTTTTGAGTGGAATATCTTAACTTTCCAGTGTTTTGTTGACAAGATGATTGGTTTACAAACCAAATAACTTCTGTGTTTTTTTCCTTGAAGTCATTACCCTACTTTTCTTTCTCTACAGCTTTTTGGACCACTGTATGGAGGTGGATTTCTGGGATCTTAGGAATAACGTGCCTTTGTTTGATGGCTACTTTGGGAATTGTGGTGAAAAACTGTAAGTTTTTTTAGCCAAGCTTATTTAATGTTCAAAGATCTGAATAAATCATTTTAATAATAAATCATTCATTTTACTCATGGGTTATACTTTATTATTTCATAAACTTCTATCTAATTAAGAAAAGTATTAATCATTTCTTTTAGTACTTCACGGACCAAGTATTGAGCTAACAATGCCTACAATGTCTCCAGGAATTACTGTGGAATTCCAGGAAGGTGGGTTCCACTCTTTTTGTCTTCATGTCAGTGGAGAATGAAATAAGAAAGTTTTTGCTTTTCTCAACAAAATCAGAATGGATTAGTAATTGTAAGGTAGTCTCATTTAATTGCTATTTAATGCAAAATTTATCATACTATTTTATGTATTATCTGTATATGCAAGTAATAAGGAACATATTAGCCTGAAATGCTTATTTCTTCTTACTTGAGCACTCAATTTTAAGCAGAAAATCAAAATGAGTTATAGTAAATTTTATAGCTTATCTTACTTACTATATTTGTTCATAACTCATATAAATATGTCTCTTCATGTTTGTTTCTGCTTTCTGCCACAATTCAGAAATTAATGTATAGATTTCTACAATTTAAAGCACTTCTTATCTCACAAATGCCAGCTCAAAGCCCAACTCTTTAATCTTTTTCCAAATTCTGTCCAAGTTGTTTCCCATATGTGATAACATAACATTTTATTTATGTACTCTTTCCTTTAGTTTTTCAAGCACTCTTTAATATAATTGGCATAGAGCATTGTGTAAGTTTAAAGTATAATGATTTATTTTATGAACTTACATTTTGCAGTGTAAACCCAACATACCATTGATAAACCTTCATCAGATCACACAATTAGTGATAACATTAATATCTCCTCTTTTCTGCAACTTATATATATGTAACATGGTTAACTATAATCACGATCATCAGAACTTAGCTCTTTTCTAGTTGAAATTTTATAACTTTTGACTGTCTCTTTACACTTGCCACCACCGACCCCTAGGCCTCATAAGCAACATTCTACTCTGGAATGTAATAACCTCTCATGTGCAAAGACTTGAGTGCTTATCATGTGTCATGACTTCTGCTCCTGACTATAGTAAATATAGTAAATGGTCAAGGTGCCATCATTGGCAAACTCTATGGTGAGACTACAAGCTAGTATTTTCTTTTTTAGTTTCATTTTGAAAATCAAACATGCAACATATAAGAATTCTCCCAATACGTCCCATTTTTTTTCTGACATTAAATATATGAAAATGCTTTTTTTCTTATAAATATCTTTTCTTATAAATAACTCGAGTCTATTCTTAGATCTAGCTACTAGTAAAAAGAGAAGAAAAACCATAAATTCTTCAGAATAATATTTTTAAGCACATCTAGAATATCCAAGTTTATGCTCACATAGATTCTCAAATAGTTTATAGAAGTAATGAACAGTAAATTTTCAATGAGTAAAGAGGACTGAAAAAACAGAATCTCTAGTATTTTTTTCTTAGAATATATTTTCTTTTAGATTCTGGATATAGTTCTTGTCAAGAAAATTGGATTGGCTATCAATGCAACTGTTACTTCTTTTCCACTGAATTCAAAACATGGAATAAAAGCAGGGATTTCTGTGAATCTCAGAATTCTACTCTGCTTCAACTGGACGACAGAGATGAACTGGCATGTATTTAATTCTGATTTCTTATATGTGTTTTTGACCTAGGAAAATATACTACCTAAGTAAGTGGAAATACAATTTGATAAGTCTTTAATCAGTCAATAATGATTTATTAATATCCTTTAACTTGAAACAATCATTATAACACCTACATAAAAATTTATAAAACTTTTATTATGGGAGTGACATTCAAGATAAATGGCAAATAAAATACAAGAAACATTTTAAAGTGAATGCAAAGGTGATATAATAGGTTTATTTTATTTAATAAAGATCACTAAATAACTTATATATTTTAGTTCAATAGATTTAATAATTTATTTTGTACATCTGTGTATTTTGATATCATTTTGGGATGCGGAATGAATAAGAAGTGCATGAGCATAAAAAGTACTCAGTTCTTAAGAAAAAGTAAAAATGTTTCCCTTTATGCAAGTATGAGCTGAATATAGGTTGATAAGTTTGTATCTATCAAATGTATCCTTTAAGGTATTAGTGTAGAATCAAATTGGAATGCTGTCTCCTGTGAGGGAAGTATTCCTTGAGAATTCTGACATCTCTTATAATATTTTTTAATTCTGTCAAGACATAAGATTTTGTGCTATTTTTCCCCATAAGTGGTTGGCCTGATATGTCTAGACACGAGACTTGTGACTACCTTTTACACCAAATGTTAAAATGGTTTTAATTTTTGTGATTGAGAAGCTGAATATGCTGTTGGACACTAACACTTTTTAAAATTTTCTGACATCAGTGTTTACTTTTGTACAGTAATTGGTTTCTCCCCTTAAGCGTGGTTCTGCTACCACAGGACCCATATACTATAACTTTTTAAAAGAATGTTAATCCAGAGTAGATTTCAGTAATTTTAATTTATTTGTTTCTATTTTCAAGTAGCACTTTATTAGGTTTAATCAATACTTTTACTGGATTGGAGTCACCTACTCTGCAGAAAACAGTTCCTGGGCTTGGATAAACGGCACTCTTATCTCCCAGGACCTGTAAGTTTCTGGAAATCCTGTTTTATTCTGATTTTACTGAGTTTGTGCTATGATTTCACAAGAGATTGCAACATCCAGAAACACTGTAGCTAAGTTAACCTATACAGAGCATGAGAATATGGAAAAGAGAATAAATTCAACAATAATACAATAGCAATGTTTGCTGTTTCTAGAACATCCAAGTTTATGCTCAAGTGACATAATGTTTGTGTGATTGCGATTATCAAGAGCTTTTGACATAAGCCAGTTTTCTTTTCACTCTGTAAAATATATATGTTATTGGAGTGACATTCAGATAAATGGCAAATAAAATACAAGAAACATTTTAAAGTGAATGCAAAGATGACATCTGTGCTCATGTACTGGTGTGCCCTTCACAGATGCTGCCCAGAAAATGGTGTAGCCATTATTTTCTCTATTCTGGTGGGACCTAGAATTCTCAGCATTCTCTTTGTGTTTCAAATATTTTCTGTGTATTTGTAGTCTTGGACTCTCATGATCTGTCATAAACACAGAATTTACAGCATCATAAAATGCCAACCTGTTTGGCCTTATTTTACGAAACTCAATAGCTAACACATCTGTAAGCAAGTAGAAGTAATGTGTATCATATATCAAAGCTATTAAATACAATAAAACAGCAAGATGATTATTGATTATTGAGGTAATAACTGAGTTTTTATAATATTGTATCTGAAACTGCGAACACATTGGCTACTGAATGAGGCAATTCAATCATCAATATGTTAGTATCATAAAATGTTTCAAAAAGTCATTTTGCTATAAAGAATAACATTCCTGCATATTCTCATTTGTTTTTCTTATGTGTCAATATTTTAATTTTCTTTACAGATTTCCCATAAGTCCTAAAGTGAAAAAACATAACTGTATAAAATACAGCCCGGAGAAACGTATTTCAGATGGACCCTGTAACCGGACAAGTTATTATATCTGTAAGAAACAGCTTACCAAACAGGTGTTTGCTAAGGGGAAAGGGTGAGCAGAGAGGTTCATTTTTAGAGTGGTAACTTTACCTCCTAAGTTGTTACAAATTAGCTACCTCTGGAACTTTAAGAGGTTTCAAATTATGTCTTATACAATTTTCATGTCTTTGAAAACAATATGTTTTAAAATTGATTAAATTTGTGTACTTATACCTGAAAACATAAAGAATCAAGTTCAATTTGATTTACTTACTAAGTTCAATAGCTACTGCGATTCATTTTTGTTTGTTTTTGTAAATTTTCTCTGAATAAATTTAAATTAATGAATCCCATTAAAATATCTATAATAATTCTATTATATTAAAATAATGACTGAATTGCAGAGACAAAAGATTTTATCACTATACAATAGGACACTGTAATTTTTGGGGGGATCCTCTTAGAATTCTGCCTACCAACAAATACCTAAGAAATATGTTACCACTGCTACTTTATAGTTTATTTAATAAAGTATTGACTTTGATTCCTGATTTGATAACTAAGAATGTAATTTATACATGTGAGAACAAATAATCCTTTTCTATTCATTCTGACATACTAATTTTAATTCTTCCATTAGTGTTATCTATCTTTGTCTAATCTTTTTTTTTAAAAAAAGATTTATTTATTTTTGCATAGAGGAACTGGGGTACAGGCCATAGGTGGGAGGTGGGTGAAATGATTCACCAGAGACAGAGTGGGTAGCAGAACAGGTGGATCTATTGAAATACACTGTTGAGGGGAGCCATGAGGGAGACAGGAGAGGTCTGCTGTGCCATGTAGATCAGCTCCCTGGTGAGGGGTCAGACTCAAGCTTTAGCAGTGACAATGTGAGGCAACCCTGAGACTACCAGGGAGGCCCCAAATGTAGTTACTTTACAAGCAAACTGAGACAACTCTTTGCTTATCTGAAGAGATGCTTCAATGTCTGTGTTTGATTCTTGGCCAGAATAAGGCAGTGTGCTGACTCATGAGTTAACTAGTGATTTGTGATAAGATTTTTAAATTCAAAATTATGGAAAATTAATTTATTATTTTAAATATCTCAATTTCTACTTGAAATAACTGCTAGATGTCCTGTTTTATCTTTGACCAAATATGCAGAAAACTTCTCCTTAAGCTCCTTTTAATCCAGATTTCAGCACACAACTACCAGCAGTTTTGCCAGAATGACCATGTCTTCATGTAAATAGCAATATTGGAAGCATATTTCTGGGTGTTTCATGGTTTCTGTTGCTTATTTGAATTCTTATTTATTTCTCCTGTTGTATCACATTGTTTACTTTTAATAAAACTATTACTTGAATATGTTCATTGGAGTCTTAAGATTCTTTCTATTATCTGCACTTTTTTCATTTTTATAATTTTTGATCTTTTGAAACCTTTTAATATATATTCTAGTGCAGAAATGGTAAAGTTTTTCTCTCAAGAACTAGTTAGTGAATATTTTCAACTCTGTGGACTAGCTGTTGAGAATACTCATTCCTGCCCTTGTACAAACGAAGACATTGATGACAGATAAATGGCATATCTGTAAGACCTTTATTTACAAAAACAATGCTAAGAAAAGAGATTCTGTTTACTTTCTCAGTCTATATGTGTAAACTTCATCAACACATACTGACCACAGTGCTTTACAATATAGATATTTTTTGGCCTAAAGGTCAAACAGTGACATTTCAATGATAGTAAAATACCTGAGATTTGGAAAGCCGGAAGCTACCAATTTCTCACCTTTGTTGTATTAGTAGAGAGTGAAAACCTCAAGACCCACAACACTCACTGGAGACTTTTTCCCACTCAAGGAGTAGAGAAAACACAGCACAGCCAACAAGATCTTTGCAGCCCCGATGTGAGCTTCTGCCTTCAGTCCAGGTGATGGACTTGTGAGGGAGAAGAGATGTGCAGTGAGGGCTGAGGTTAATAAAATGGGAAACATGGCATGTGTTTACTCCTGCGTGACTTTTGAAACTTCAACCTACCCATATGTAGTTGGAAAATGCCAACTTTTATCTAAAATATATGTTATCAACTAAGTCACTTATTTGGATGCTTCTTTTTGTTCAATCATCTCACATTATAAAATGGAAATAAGGTGATGTCAAGGACCAAGAAATAGCTAAATATGTACAAAAGGTTCACATTGCTTTTATCTTTCATTGAAGCCTGGAAATTCTATTCTGGCTTTTGTAAAAGAATTGGCTATTGTTTTGGTTTTAATATTTATCTGTTTATTTCCTTTGATGGAAAGAAGATCTCTTGGTTCTTTTAACTTCATGCAAGAGGAAATTTTCTTTTTTCATGTCTCTGTTCAAAATCGCTGACTGAGTTTGTAATTGCCCATTAAAATTGCATCTGTAAAATGATCTCATGCTTGTCTAAAGAACAAACAATATCCTAAATCCATAATATAATTTCAAAGATATCGGGCAACATATTAGAGATCAAATTAAAATATGCTGAGGAAGCACTGAACACGAGGACGTCAATGAATGGTGAACTGTCCTTATTTGATTCAAGCTACAAGGTGATCATCTCTACTGCTATGAAGGGCAAGGCAAGACTTCTAAAGAGCAGTCCTGGTGGGCTCTCACAACAGTTCTGTTATTTGGATTCAATGACCAGCAGAAGCTGTCTCCTATTTTGGAGATAATGTCAGGAGCTTCAATTCTAGGACAAAGATAGCCACAGTTAGGCAAAATTGCAATGATTTCTGGAGCGCACATATTTGTGTGATCCTCACACTAATGGCAGTATTGCACATATAGAATTTCTGGTGTATTACAAATTTCTGCATTAGTGAAACAGTGTGACCCAAAATTCTTCCCAAGGATTATAAGACATACATATTCATCACAGTAGAGGCTAGTAATATGAGCTCAATAAATGTTAAAAATTTCACTCGGTGAACCAACTCATTAAAATGAAAATGGTAAAGTCAATGATTCATATTTTTTATTTAACAACCATACTTTGGAAAAACAAAATAATTGTTAGTATACCTTTTTTAGACTATCACAGCAGTTGTTACATGAATTTGTAATGTAATACAATTTGTTCCACCACCCACACACATATATGCACTCAAGCAAAAGAATGAATATAAAATTGGTGAAATTTGAAGGCCTATGAATTGAGCTAATGCCAGCATCTTGATTTAATTTTGTTCTCTAGTTATACAAGATATTACTATTGGAGAAAATTGACTGCATGGTACAAGACAACTCCTTATGCTACATTATGTTGTTACCTTTTCCCTATCTACATCTGCTTCAAAATAAAAAGTGAAAAAATCCAAAATTAACCGAAAACAGTGTATTTATTCCCTTTTTGTCAACACAAGTTGGCCTCATTGTTCCTTTATTTTTCTGTCTCAGCTATACCACTAGCTGCTTCACTAAAGGCAAATCATGTTATATTCTTTTTTTTTT